GCGTTCAACAGGTTTCCATGGGGTTCGGTGTCGTTTGACAAAACCCAAGACAGTCTGTTTTCTGCACCAACAAAGTATGTGAAAAGCTTTGAAAATGAAGAGGGAAGAGGGAAGGGGAAATGTAAGGTAACCGGAACAAGCCGGAGAAATGAGAAGGGCAAGAAGGATAACCATGGTGAAGTGCAAAGGGGTGGCTGGAGTTTTAAAGGTTTCACGTATGCTTTCCAGGTACATGGTAATAATGTTCATGTCGTTATGTTCTGTTGACTTTAAAACTTAAATAATAACTTGTGTCCTGTGAATTGTGTAGATTTGGGTATATGAATTAATTCCTAGAATGGTGGACCTGAATTACTGCAAGGTTGTTGATCCGACAGCTCTCCCGCGTATTTTGCGATGGAGAACTACTACGTCTGTTCCCGAGATGAGAAAGTTGAACAATTATTTTTTCCAGAGCAAAGAGGTTTGGTTTGCAGCCCTTGGAACTATTTATAAGATTCAATGAAATTATGAAGTAGAATGATTGCATATGACTCTTGTCTGTTTTCTGAAACAGTCAGTTCAGTTGCGGGCGCTATGTCCAAGTGAAGAGGAAATGAGACAACCATATTGGAGTTGGCCACAGGGTCGCCCTGCTGTTGTCTCGGCAGAGTCAATTCCTTCTTCATGTGCTGACCTTGATGAGTTGAACAAGGCGGTAAGCTTGTTGAGGTCCGAGTTGTTTCAAGTAAAGCGGGAAAAGGACGTCCTTGAGTTAAAGGTCATACGGATGGAAAAAAATTTGGGCCACTGTTTAGGTCCTCATTTTGAGCAGGAAGTGAGAAGGGACATAGCTTTACTGAAAGAGAGGACGAATCGTTGTGTCGTGTCACATCTATTTAAGGGATATGAGGAAGTGGATGGCATGCAATGGGATGAAGGGCCAAGTAATAGAAATGAAGGAGAGGCAAATGAAGAGGAGGACATTGAAGGGGGTGAAGGGCCAAATAACAGAAATGAGGGAGAGGACAAGGAAGAGGAGGGGATTGAAAGGGGTGAAGGGGCAAGTAAGACAAATGAGGGAGAGGAAAAGGAAGAGGAGGGGATTGAAGGGGGTGAAGTGCCAAGTAAGAGAAATGAGGGAGAGGAAAAGGAAGAGAAGGGGATTGAAGGAGGCCAAGTGCAAAGAAAACCAAGGGAGGTAGAGGAAGCTCAAAGGAAAAGAAGTGAGGGAGAGCAAGTGAAAATAAAAAGCAGCAAAGGAGAGGAAGCGCAAAGAAAGAGCATTGAGGGAGAGGAAGAACTGCAAAGAAAAAGCAGTGAGGGAGAGGATCCGAAAAAAAAAAAAGGAAGGGCAAGGAAGTGAAAAGACAGAGAAGTGAGGAAAAGGAAGTGCAAAGAAACCAATGTGAGGAAGAGGATGATGAAGTTATGTTGGTTGGCGATGACATTGGCGAGAGCACGGAGGGGACAAAGGTTGAGGTTACTGTCGGGGACATTGATTTGGATCAACCTAGAGCTGTGTTATCTCAGTTGAACGTTTGGTTGAATGATGAAGGTCAAGGTGTGGAACGAGGGGTCCAATTACGGAAGAGGAAGAGGATTATTCCTATGTGGAAGATCGTTGAAGCTAGTGAAGTGGTTAAAAAAAATTTGCCAAAGACAACCGGACTTCGGACGTTAGACCCAATGAAGGCGATTCCGCATGATGATATGGTGAAATTGCTGAAACTTTGTTCGGAATGGCGCCATAACCCAAAGTAAGTCCTTTGTTTTTTGAGATAGAAGGCATGAGTGTATATATTTTGTAATTGTTGTGTTCTAAAACTTTTTTATATTCATAGTTTGGTGATGCAATTTGGCAACGTGGAAGCTGAGATTGAATTCTTCGCTTCCCTCGTCAAAGCTGACGGCTGGCTGAAAGGAGATGTAAGTTTAATTGATTATGCATTTGTTTGAATGTGCATAGATAATGAGATTGACAAGGAAAACATGTGCAGCACATTGATTTGGGCTTGTATCTCATCCGGAAGCGACAACAACAGTTGGAGGAAGTAGAAATATCGGATTGGACAACGACCGATGTATTTTTTATGGTATGTGATGCAGGATGCATAGGACCTAAATTGTTTAGTTTCCTAATTTATTGGTTAGTTTCCTATATTCTTTAGTTTTCCAAATCCTAGTAGGATTTCTAAGTTAGTTTTCCAAATCCTATTAGGATTTCTAAGTTTCCTATTTTATTAGGAATAGGATTTCTGTTTTACCTGGGGATTTTAATTCTATTCTCTCTAGGTTTTAGTTTGCTATAAATACCCCTGTGTAGTTCTTTACAATTCAGATTTGAATATTGATTAAACATTCCTTTAAACTCTCTGATTTCTGCCTGCCTTCTACCTTTTCTTCCCTTCAGCTTTTCTTATCTGTTATGTCTTATTGCTCTAAGTGTTTAAACTAACACACCCAGGGCTGTGCTACATCAGTATGGCATAGGCCTTGACCAAGTGCAGTTAATAATTACAAATTATCCATACTTGCTTTGTGGAGTTGTTTAACCATTGATTGTTTTCTATTTCACAGAATCACATCCATACTTGCTTTGCGGATAATAAAAGGAAAAAAGAGCAAGTTGGGTGGAAAATTAGAACCAGTTTAGTGAACGTTGTAAATGGCAAGGTTCCGGCTTGTGGATTGGATTGGCAGAACACGTATAAGGTGTATGTACCTTGTATGTTGCAAAAATATAAGCATTGGGTGGCTCTAGAGATTGATCTGATTCAGTGTGAAATCAAAGTCTACGATTCAATGGTTTCACTCATTCCAGATCAGAGCTTAAAGGAAGAACTCGGCCCCCTGTCAATTACGATTCCAAATCTTCTGCACACCCTCGACTTTTATGAAGAAGGTGTTTACGCGAACGAGTGCACCCGAGATTGGTGGTGTCCATGGCCAATACATCGTGTGGATGTTCCACAACAGGCTAATCAGTGAGCACAACTTTTTATTTAATTTTATTACTTTAATTTGTCAATTATGTTAGAATGTCATTAGTTGAATTGATCGAGTTCTTGTTTTGCTTCAGAGGCGATTGTGGTATGTTCGTGTTGAAGTACATTGAGCTGTTGAGTGCTGAGATTTCCTTAGCTACTTGCACCTCGCAGAACATGCCATTTTTTCGGTTGAAGTTGGCTGCAGAAATTGCACGGGGAGATGCTTACATGCCATGATATCGGTTGAACTTGGTTTAGGCACATGATGATGAAATAGGTTTTGGGAATGTCAAATTTCAAAGTCATGTAAATACACAATAGAGACCCATGGGTCCTTTTCGAATTCCACCTCTGCTCCTGAATTCTTCTTCGTCTTTCTCAATCTTAGTGTATTTGTGTACAGAAATTTAGATTTAAGTTACTGGACAATAACAATTAGAACCAAAATAGTGGCAAATATTATAGCGGATGCATGCTTTCATTTTGATTAGTGTGATATTACGCTATGTGTATTCTCATATTGTGCAAAATGTATATGGAGCTGGTTGCAGAGCATAGAAAAATGAAGACTCTGAAATGGAGATGCTGAGGGTTGGAGAGGAGAAAAGTAACTGGATCTGTAAATCTATTGCACGTGGGCAATCTAAATGGATAGGCAGATGCGTTTTTGAAGTTAGACACATGCCATTCCCATACATAGAATGTGCATATGGAGTGTAAAGTTTTTTTTGATGTAATGAAACAAACATCGGTGTAATATTGGCCTAACTCCTTCACGACATTTACCTAACCTCAACCAAACTGCATTGAATTGGGATTTGAAGACTGCATATGTGAATTTGGATTTGAAGAATGCATATTCACATACGGACTGATGGCTTTTTAAGTGTATTACATCATTGCAAAGTGATATGTCATCATTTATCCAAGCCACCATTCCAAATATCAGATCCCAATCTTTAAGCCGTTCAACATGCCTTGACTTAATCGCAATGGGTTGCATCTTAAGGTAATTCTGTAAGGGGAATAGGCTGCTATGGCCTCGCCTCCAATATTTTATTCAACCATGCCCTCCTTATAGAAACACATGAAAAAATGTCCCCAGGTGCAATGCTCTAAAAACTCCCTATTGGTTCCGCACTGCCCCTCGGGTTTGAATCCCTCTCTCCTTTATAATCGGTTAATAAATTGGTTGATTTTCTTTATTTTATTGGTTTTGGGCAGCTGAGTAACATAACAGTAATGTATATTGGTGCGTCTATATTGCATGTCTGTTGGGTCTATATTGCTTGTCTATTGCGTGCATATCTTTACATTTTTGCGTCTGTATTGATTTGTATTGCTTACGACGGAAATAAATAACAATACACAGGCAACAGACAAGCAATATACACGCAATAGATATGAAATATACACGCAATAGACATGCAATATACATCAGTCCCCAATTACATCAACCATAAGGAAGTCGTATTGAATAGGAAATTCTACTTAAGTTGTTCTTCCTACGAAAACAAAGAATAAGGACCGTTTCCCCCCCTTAAATCTAACTGGAGTCCTACTTTTGCCCCCAATAAACTTGCAATATTGGAGCAATAACATGCGATATACATGCAGTAAACACTCAATCAACTTTCAATAAACCTTCAATATCGGTTCAATAACATGTGAAATACATGCAGTTAACAATCATGAAACCTTCACGAAACATGTAAACAATCAATAAACCTTCAATAAACACTCAATATCGGAGTAATAACATGCGAAATACATGCAGTTAATGAACCTTCAATAAACAGTCAATATCATGCGATTTACATGCAGTAAACAATCAATAAACAATCTATATACACTGAATAATTATGCAATCTTAAAAAAAAGGTATTGTCTTATTATTGCATCGTATTGGCCCTGTATTGTCATTTTATCGTCTTCGTCTGACTTTATTTTTGTAAAGTAACTGTAGGAAAGTTTTTACTGGGTTTCTGACAAGTAAATGCTTTTGTTTCAAACAATAATTTAAACTCAATGCTAATCCACCTATTTCAATAACAAAAATTACAAATTGAGTTTGAAAAGTCATTGGTGGTGCGTGCAACATGTGTTTTTGGGGAGAACTTTTACAATCCTTGAAACCGTGCACTTAATTGGTCATTAAAAGAACAAATAATATGACAATTGATACAACTAATAAAACTAATACCAAGTCCTTAATGGACTTCAGCATATTAAGCACTGTAGCATCATACGTGTCAGCTTGCTGATCTGCTTCAGCGGAGGTTACATCAACCCATTCGAATCCATTGCAGCTGGTGGCTCCCTAATTGCAGGCATCATATATGCAAAATAATTTTGTCAGAGTTAGACCTAGGATTTTTTTTCACCCACATACATATTCTGGAAATGAGAACTTACATAGGAGGTTAGACACTTCCAAAATGCCTTCCCGCGATTTTTATCTGATTTTGAAACCCGAAGCACCATTGCCGCTCCACAATACTGACACCTCTTTGTTTGAGCGGGAGATGAAGACGAAGACATGTTGAATCTTATCACTTGTACCTCTTCTCACTCAGATCTTCTCACTAAAACCTCTTCGGACTCATACCTTCTGAGTTATACCCCTTCACTCATAAGTCATAACCCTAAACTTCTCACTCAGCTCTCTCTCATCTCTGCCCAAATCGAATTATATCCTTCTTTTCTGTGTGTGGGTGGGTTGGTCACGATCTGGACACCTGTACCGTCAGAATTGTGACACATTTTACTCCGATAAGCGATATACTATTTCACAAACAATAATTAATCTTACAATTGAGGGGACACTGCTTTAAATATATTATTTTCTTTATATTGCATTAAGGCAACTAGTTGGATAAGAATCCGTCATTTAATAGGGGTAGTGTGGTGTGGGAAAATGAAAAAGTATCTGATGGGACCTTCTGTCACTAGTCAGTAATCCATCACATTTGTATCAATGAATTTAATGGCGGGAAAAGCCTAACAATGGCTATGGAAATAGGTTATTAATTGACTTTTGGACGGTCTGACTCCCTTTGCATTTTGATGACGTTTTCCCTTCGCCTGTCTTATGTTTTGGGTGTTGAGTTCAGTTTCTTTAAAAAGTGTCAACTTGGTAAAACCCCAAGGAAACACCTTTTCAGAACAGTGCAACCAGAGGCTAAACAAACCCAAAACCCCGTATATTCTCATTTCTCCCCTCTTGCAGTCCTCAAATCGTTCCATTCCAAAAATATTTCAATGAATTCCAAACATTACACTACAGTCGGAGGAAAGAGAAGGAAGCATCGCGATCCGGATGTGCCTCAAGCCTTCATCCCGGAATTAGCTTGGTTTAAAGTGATGTTATACGTGGCAACCAACTCATCGGAAGATCTCTTTCGTATGGCATGTGTGTGCCGATTGTTCAATACGTTGGCAAACACTCCACAAGTGTGGAACACAATTTCAATGGAAAAGTACCGAGACCATCCTAACTGGTACTATGCCGCAGAGCAGGTCCGGCATTTCGTGGACCAATGCAGGGCTTGCCAGAACCCTGAGGCGATATTTAGAGAAGCGTTCGACATGTTTTTCAGGCAGGGTAATGTGGAAGCATTGTCTGGGATGCGCGTTGCAGCCACGGCAGGCCATATGGAAGCGTCATATCTAGTTGGACTACTTGGCATGTCCGGAATTGGTCAGTCAAAAGAGGATGCATTGGAATTCTTGTGTTCTTTGAATCAACGTAACAACATTGATATGAAAGGAACCAGGGATGCTTTGAGACGACGATTAAGCGGAATTTTCTCTGTTGGAAGACATATCGTAGATATGTTTCACTATGGGAAGATTAAGTTCAATCAGTGCAGCGCTTGTAACAACAACGACTGGTGTTTTGTTATTCCAGGCTGGCCTAGTGAAGAAAAGATCAATCCTGCCTTCTGGACTTGTTGCAATCGATGCAAATGGCACCGTGAGAGTGTTTTTTGGTTCAAGGTGATGCGTGTCTATGTTGTGCCAGGGAATCCATACCCTTATAATTAGTTGGAGTATGTTTCTACGGTTTTTATGCGTGTCTATGTTCTACACATGTTGTTTTCTATTTCATGTTTTAATCTATTTTGTCTGGTGTTTGTGCTGTCCTAGCCCGTTTTATATATAAATGTATAATATTTGCTATATAGTGGAATTATTACTGACATAATTGACGGCTAAGAATGACATTTTACTGACACAGATATTTTGCACAACTGCAATCTTAATATTTGGTAAACGAAAACGCATGCATGAAGTGAGTATGTGTCTTTTCACCGGTTCTTGGGAATGACATTTTCCCACTTAGCATATCCCAAATGATTGGGTTACACGTTTCTTAAGCAAAACTTGAACAGTTAAAGACTTTGAATAATTATTTCCTGATGTTGTAGAATGGATGGCTTGTATATTTCCATTTTATGTTTGAAAACATCCCTTACACCTAAAAAAGAAAAAACATTAACAAATTGAAGAAGAGAGAAACTGATTAGCACCAGAAATGGTCTATTCACACGGAAAATAAAAATAAAATTACAAATTTGGAGTAAATATAATTAACAAATGTACAAGCTAACAAGTAATATAACAATAATAATAAAAATAATTTTGGATAAATAATAATAAAATACTAATGTAGCGTAACCATGAAACAGGGAATTGAGGAGGAAGATGAAGTGTGAATGAGGTTGTAGCAATTTTCGGAACATTATTGTGATTTTTGTGTATTTAGTTATGAATTTTCTAAGAAAAAGTCATAAAATAATAATTTAGGGTAAAAGGTAAGGATGTGGCCATGTTGACTGATGCACACTTGTCAAGGGGTGAAAGGTGAGGGGCTGAGATCGCGCCAGGTGTCCATGTGGCAATTATTTTGGCTTTTTTTGTGCAAAAATCTTTGAAAAAATGCAATAAATAGTAGAAAAAATCCTAAAAATGCCCCGAAAATACTCCGGCCTCCGTGTGACGTTATAAAACGAGGGGAACCCATAGATCATCCATTTCGCAATTAAAAATTCAAAAATGATTTACATAACTCACTTTCCTCTTAACCCTAAGTATATATGTTGTTCACTTTAAGTTCAATAACCTACTTCAACAAGCATCTCCCGTTAATGTTCGGAATTGTTTTTTAAAATGCGTAACCACTAATCGGGGAATTCAGCAAGGGAGATGGAGTGTCAATGAGGTCGTACCAATTTTCGGAACATTATTCTGATTTTGTGTATTTAGTTATGAATTTTCTAAGAAAAAGTCATAAAATAATAATTTAGGGTAAAAGGTAAGGATGTGGCCATGTTGACTGATGCACACTTGTCAAGGGGTGAAAGGTGAGGGGCTGAGATCGCGCCAGGTGTCCATGTGGCAATTATTTTGGCTTTTTTTGTGCAAAAATCTTTGAAAAAATGCAATAAATAGTAGAAAAATCCTAAAAATGCCCCGAAAAATACTCCGGCCTCCGTGTGACGTTATAAAACGAGGGGAACCCATAGATCATCCATTTCGCAATTAAAAATTCAAAAATGATTTACATAACTCACTTTCCTCTTAACCCTAAGTATATATGTTGTTCACTTTAACTTCAATAACCTACTTCAACAAGCATCTCCCGTTAATGTTCGGAATTGTTTTTTAAAATGCGTAACCACTAATCGGGGAATTCAGCAAGGGAGATGGAGTGTCAATGAGGTCGTACCAATTTTCGGAACATTATTCTGATTTTTGTGTATTTAGTTATGAATTTTCTAAGAAAAAGTCATAAATAATAATTTAGGGTAAAAGGTAAGGATGTGGCCATGTTGACTGATGCACACTTGTCAAGGGGTGAAAGGTGAGGGGCTGAGATCGCGCCAGGTGTCCATGTGGCAATTATTTTGGCTTTTTTTGTGCAAAAATCTTTGAAAAAATGCAATAAATAGTAGAAAAATCCTAAAAAATGCCCCGAAAAATACTCCGGCCTCCGTGTGACGTTATAAAACGAGGGGAACCCATAGATCATCCATTTCGCAATTAAAAATTCAAAAATGATTTACATAACTCACTTTCCTCTTAACCCTAAGTATATATGTTGTTCACTTTAACTTCAATAACCTACTTCAACAAGCATCTCCCGTTAATGTTCGGAATTGTTTTTTAAAATGCGTAACCACTAATCGGGGAATTCAGCAAGGGAGATGGAGTGTCAATGAGGTCGTACCAATTTTCGGAACATTATTCTGATTTTTGTGTATTTAGTTATGAATTTTCTAAGAAAAAGTCATAAAATAATAATTTAGGGTAAAAGGTAAGGATGTGGCCATGTTGACTGATGCACACTTGTCAAGGGGTGAAAGGTGAGGGGCTGAGATCGCGCCAGGTGTCCATGTGGCAATTATTTTGGCTTTTTTTGTGCAAAAATCTTTGAAAAAATGCAATAAATAGTAGAAAAATCCTAAAAATGCCCCGAAAAATACTCCGGCCTCCGTGTGACGTTATAAAACGAGGGGAACCCATAGATCATCCATTTCGCAATTAAAAATTCAAAAATGATTTACATAACTCACTTTCCTCTTAACCCTAAGTATATATGTTGTTCACTTTAACTTCAATAACCTACTTCAACAAGCATCTCCCGTTAATGTTCGGAATTGTTTTTTAAAATGCGTAACCACTAATCGGGGAATTCAGCAAGGGAGATGGAGTGTCAATGAGGTCGTACCAATTTTCGGAACATTATTCTGATTTTTGTGTATTTAGTTATGAATTTTCTAAGAAAAAGTCATAAAATAATAATTTAGGGTAAAAGGTAAGGATGTGGCCATGTTGACTGATGCACACTTGTCAAGGGGTGAAAGGTGAGGGGCTGAGATCGCGCCAGGTGTCCATGTGGCAATTATTTTGGCTTTTTTTGTGCAAAAATCTTTGAAAAAATGCAATAAATAGTAGAAAAATCCTAAAAATGCCCCGAAAAATACTCCGGCCTCCGTGTGACGTTATAAAACGAGGGGAACCCATAGATCATCCATTTCGCAATTAAAAATTCAAAAATGATTTACATAACTCACTTTCCTCTTAACCCTAAGTATATATGTTGTTCACTTTAACTTCAATAACCTACTTCAACAAGCATCTCCCGTTAATGTTCGGAATTGTTTTTTAAAATGCGTAACCACTAATCGGGGAATTCAGCAAGGGAGATGGAGTGTCAATGAGGTCGTAGCAATTTTCGGAACATTATTTGATTTTTGTGTATTTAGTTATGAATTTTCTAAGAAAAAGTCATAAAATAATAATTTAGGGTAAAAGGTAAGGATGTGGCCATGTTGACTGACGCACACTTGTCAAGGGGTGAAAGGTGAGGGGCTGAGATCGCGCCAGGTGTCCATGTGGCAATTATTTTGGCTTTTTTGTGCAAAAATCTTTGAAAAAATGCAATAAATAGTAGAAAAATCCTAAAAATGCCCCGAAAAATACTCCGGCCTCCGTGTGACGTTATAAAACGAGGGGAACCCATAGATCATCCATTTCGCAATTAAAAATTCAAAAATGATTTACATAACTCACTTTCCTCTTAACCCTAAGTATATATGTTGTTCACTTTAACAAGTATATTTCCTTAATATTCGTTATATAATTTGTACTAATACAAGAATTAGTTTCCTTTCATATATAAGGATGTAAAATTATCTGTTTTGGTTATAATAATGTACATATATAATAAATGCACCACTACTTGGAAGCCATAATTGGAACTGCGCATGCGCCTAGAGCTTTGAAGACGTCAGATATAGTCAATAAGTTGTCCATATGCACCTGCACCTAGAGTTTTCAACACGTCGGCGGTATTCAATAAGTTGTCCTTATGACGCCGCATTGGGAATCAGTAATATATTTTCTATCATGTCCAATCGCATAAACATATAATATAAAGAAATAAAGCAATAGTAGGAGATGAACCAGTACAAAAAACAATATATAACTGGTACAAAATAATGCCATAACCTTGTCACAAAACCAGTCACACATGCTTTTCCATAAACCTTACCCTAACATATAATACATAAAGGCAACATTGCATATGATGCAACCATGTCCAAATCTGATACGTGATCACAAAAAAATGGACATGGCAGCAACATATGACTGAAGTAGATGGGCACTTTGCATCGTGTTATCGTAATTAAAGACATGAAAATATGAAGGTTGAAATCTTCTATAGTAGTAAGCATCAAAATAGGTTTGAAGCAGAGCTTAACGAAAATTCCAGTTCCTCTGATTTGCCTCTACTCAAACACGATAACCAAAATGGTCACTTCCCTTGCTGAGTATATTTGTTAACGTCGGAAACGGTAATAGATGACCAATCAAACCCGGGTACGACGAGTTTTGCATAGGACCGGAAGTAGTCGAATCCAGCTTGCATCACACGCTTCTTTGACTCCTTTGCATTAGATGAGTTCTTGTATTTTTGAACAGCTACACTCCGAAGTCGTTTGTGTCTACGCTTCATGCGCTGCAACTTCGCCCTATCCAGATTGGCCTGCCTTTTGTCATCTTCAATTTGGCCTTCAACAAATTCCAAACGTACCCTTGCCCTTTGGATTTCATCACCAAGTTGAAGATGCCTCTCCTTCCAGAAAGCAAGAACTCTTTCAGACTCAAAACTTCCAACAAAATGGTCATTCTGTCTAGGAAAGTGACATTGCTTGTCTGGTGACTCACTTGCGTTTCGAAGGCGGTCTTTGTTTGGAGGGGTGTTTATTACGCTCACATCAAACTTGGTTAGTAAATCCATTAAATGGGGGGAGAGAGTTTCTGTGGAGGAGAGAGTTTCAGTAGATGGAGACACATTCGGTGGAGGAGTGAGTTTTTTGTGGAGGGAGAATTTTTATGAAGGGGGTGATAGTAATACCAATAAAAAAGGGTTCCCGCCAAAAAAAACATTTGGTTGACAATGTATAAATGAAAAAAGGTCTCATACAAGCTAAGTTTAATCCTAACTAGTTTGTTTAGTTTGGTTGGGTTCACTAACTAGATGTCACTTCCATTGAGTTTCTTTCAACCACTAACAGTGGTGTAAGGAGAGTGTGAGGTTGACATGCTTGAAAAGCAAAACCTGACACCTGTTTTTTTAAAATTGAAATAAAGTAGATATGTTGACTACACGCAAGCTTTGGTCTGTTGGTCTATAAAGCTATGTTCCATTTCTCAAACGAAATTGCATCTGCAATCCTCATCCTCCAAAACAAATAGGATTATTCAAGTATGTCAACCTCTTCAGGCGCCAACAACACAATCGAAGATGAAAAATTGGAGTCGCAGGTTCCGTTTCCACGTTGTACTCGCCGACCCCTTCCATTTTCAACATCATTTGGGAGTGAGGGGGACTCCGATGATCCATTAGAGGCAATAGATGCTGTCAGTACCAAGCTGGATTATAATTCCAGACTGATCAATTCATGGCACGAGAAATGTGTTGAAGACGAGGCCATTTTGGCTGATCTTAACATTAGAGTGAACAAAGCGTTCTCCCAAAAGAACAAGTACTTGAAGCTGAGTCATAAAAGGAAGCTGAAAGCTGAGGAGTTGGATGCAGTAATGAATGATGAAATTAAAGGTTGTTTGATGAACCATATGCGATGCGAAGAGCACCACAGTGAACTGGAGTTGGCATTCAACGAAGGATTCGAAAAATTCCGAGCATTCGCGGCAACAACTCATACAAGTTATAATTGGGACTATGTGTCCCCTGATGCTGTGAGAGAGATACTAGACGATGGTGGTGACATGAATGAGCATAAGCACGTCAAAGCTGCTCGGAAGAAGCCGACCGATACGGCTAAGTGATTGCGGCTACAGCTGTTCTGTTGGTTGGGGGTGATCGTGGTATTGCACAAATTAGAACTATGTTCCCTTAATGTCATTATCTAATATAAAATAATACAAATATCAGTTTCATTTGCTTCATATATAATTATTGGGACTATGTCTTGCAAGTCATCATGTGTTCCTTCTGTCTAACATTATATTTTGCAACTATGGAAATATTATTCAATAAGCAGTCAATATCACAGCACCCTGGTAATCAGTAAAGCCCCATTATCATGACACGTGAGTCATAAGTAAAATGCCATGTGCTATACATTGTGTAGTGAATGGTTTATGGTTTATGTATATATAATAAAATTCCAAATATTGCTGAATATTTATTTTGTCTAAATCACTGGGGACATGAGTGACCATAAGCACGCGAGACCTGCTAAGAAGAAGCTGACCAATACGACCTAGTGATTGTGGCTACCGTTGTTCAGTTTATTGGGGAGATCGTGCTATTGCTAAGAGGGAGCACATAAAATGCTTTGCAATCAAATTTTCTTTTGTGTGTGGAATTATGAGTAGTTCAAATGTTAGTGTACCCTTTAATATTACCCAACCATTCGAAATGTGATTAGCTGCAATGTACTTTTTTACACGTTGCTTTCTAATCTTTCTGTTCCAACAAAGTGCTTCAAGTATCCTTCAGCTACGAATGTTTGCAAAATCGTGCACCTAATAACCAGTCCAGCTCAGATCTTAATCACCAGTAAAACACTAGAACATAACATTCGCAAAAAGTGGGTGCTGCTACAAATGATGCGTGCTGCTGGAAATCATTACTGGTAATGGAAACAATAGCTGGCTGCTGGAAATGCTGCATTAGCCTGTCATATAATCAATAAATCTCTATTCAAACATAATTCACCATAAACTACCCATTTTACAAGGTAAAAGTCATTGCTTGTTCACATAAATCAAAATTTGATGCTTTATCTAATGTCCATGAAAATTTCTAAATAGGGAGAAGACGTAAAATTAACATGTGTCCAAATTTCATGCAAGAATGAAACCAAGCAAATTTTCATTTCAATTATCAATGGACATAGTCAGAGCTCATCGGTGGACATGAACAAAAAATTAATAATAATAAAACTGCATCTACAAAACTTCACCTGATCATTAGTCTTCATAATAACCGGGCTTCGTATAATAGAAACCTAAATCATTGAGTTGGTCCGTGCATCCTGTAAAATTCGTCAAATAATGGGTCACTAAGATCTATTGGAGTTGATTCGTCATTGTTCGACGGTGATGTCCTGCATAAACATCAAACAGAAGCACATAAGAACTTTACCTATTCAAATTTTAGGTCTTATTATAAATAGTGTTAACATCTTACGGTGTGTTCAAATTTCTTGGGCATTGTCTTCTATCATGACCAATGTGTCCACACTCCCGACAGTGTCTAATCCCTCGCTTCATTGCCTTTTCCTTTGCTCCCGTTACTCGTTTCGACCCTCCATTGCACCTTACTCTCTTAGGGTCTTTCATATATTGTGTTTGAGAGCTGGACCCTCCAACTTCGTTATTACTTGGTCCATCCTTCAACAACTTCAACTTCACCTGCAAACTTTTTAGAGTCTCTGACAGTAGCTCACATCCTTCTTCACACATTAATGCATCCTCAACCACATCTGAAGCAAGTCGGGACATTGTACTCCGCTTTATTAAAAGACCAGGATCTGCAGAGTCTTTAATTTCGTTGCCATTTGCATCTGACACCAATCCAAATTTCGCAGTTTTCTTCCACCTCTTCAAAATGTATTTATCGGGCATATATTCAATCTGGTCCCTTCTGAACAATGCTAGGATGTGCTTGCAAATAATTCCAACAAATTCAAATCTTTTGCAGCTACACGATGCGTGGTCAGAATCTTTGACATATACGACTTCTGCCACTCTTGTTTCCCAATTTTTCCTTTCGCTCACATTAAAGACAACTTTAGAAGCATCCTCTGTTTTCAGCTCTAGGAAACATGCTGTACTTTGTATTAGTTCTTGCTCAAACTTTTGAAACATTGTCCTTGTGTACAAGGTAGCCATTTGTTTGTTCATTGGCATCGGTAGAATACATTGAGCCACTTCAAATGCATCTACGTGATCAGCAACTAACTCTTTTTGACGTTGATGAGAAAGTGCCCTCTCAAATCTTATTATGAAATCCATCAACGAATTTTTCCTTGATATGTATTGCTTGAAGAAACCATGAGAACATTCAGCTCTTTGGCTGCTTGACATTCCAGCGGCAAAAAAGTGTCGTGCGTAGGCTGGAACCCAAGATTCCCTTAAATCAAACATTGAACTTAGCCATGGATGGTCAGTCAAACCAGCCTTTGTAACCACAATATTCCATTTTGCATCAAACTCATCCTTATTGTCAGTATCCCATATGGCTTTCTGGAATTCACCCCAATACTCCTTATAAGCAGAATGTGGTAACTTAACAGAGAACTTTGATGTGATGTGCCATATGCAAAGTCGATGAAATGTAGTCGGGAAGGCTATTGAAATCGCTCTGCTCATTGCCGCATCTTGATCTGTGATGATCGTTTTAGGTTCGCCACCTGGCATGGCTTTCTTAAACTCCTCAAACATCCAAATAAACGACTCAGTCGTTTCCTTGCTCAAAAATGCGCATGCTAGGACAATTGTTTGACCATGGTTATTAACTCCCAACATTGGTGCAAATGTCAAGTCGTATCTATTCGTGTTGAATGTGGTATCGAATACAACAACATCTCCATAAAACCCGTACGCCCGTCTAGAAGTTGCATCTGCCCAAAAACATCGACTAAACCTGTTATCGCCATCTCCCTCAATCTTGAAATAAAAAGCCTCATTTTTTTTCTGTTCAGCCATAAAATACTCGGTCACTAGTTCAACATCGTGGTTCCTCAGCTTCTCATTCACACTACATTCAAGATTGTACATATCCTTTTTGATAAAACCATTTTATCCATTCCTCCGGATTGCACCTCGAAAATACTTACCTTCTGATTAATGGGAATATTAACCGAACCCAACTGTTTTGTAAGTACTTTTGTAGAATCTGAAATACGACGGTGTGATCTCAGTAAATGCATTCTTCCTGAGGGTGTCATCTTATGATTGTGTCCCTCTGCAAAAAGAGAGATGGTATACTTCTTGCTCCCATGTGTCTTCACAACCACAATCTTAGCTTTGCAATTGCATCTACTTATTCCCCGCTGTCTTTTTCTCTCCCGAGTTTCATCATTCCGGTATGCACCTTGTTTGCAACATACAAATTCTTTTCTCAGAATCTCTTTCTTATTTTTCCCCCAAAAGCTGGAATGAAGTCGAATACCAAAGCCAGCCAAGAATGCATATCTATTATAGAAATTATAAACGAGGTCAAGCGAGTCGAACTTCATCCCAACTGCTGGTGTTTCCTCATTTCTTACTTCAGGAATGTAAACCCTCCCATTAGCTATTACAGAGTCATCACTCTCTGAGCCCCCAGACATTTTATCCACGTATATTATTGATCTACTTCTATATTACTGCATAGCAAATGTTAATTCATTAATCAATCATTACTGCATCACAACTTATCAATGCATTCCACTTACACAAAACATTGCCCAAATTGACACAATACACGCATAGCTTAGCTTGTTGGATTCTGATTACAGAAAACACAAGCAAAATTTAATAATAGTTACGTCATCTCTTGTGAAATAATCTGGAAAAAATACCTTAGAACCAACATGTTCAACTAAGAACTCAAATGTAATTCAAACCAGCAATTACAGAACTTCACCCAATATCCTCTCCAAATGCTTACTTCTAATGCCATTAAGCCTAAGTTTAGGATCTTTTACCTACATTTCATAATTTTCCAATCCCCCTCCAAACAAAAATAATCAACTAAGTATATTGAATATTCATAAGGAAATGACGCATTATTGATAGCAGAGCAAATGACGCATTATTGATGCCGCAAATGACAAATTTCTCACCCTCATAAAAAACAAATCAAACCCAGCAAAATCAATCCAGCAAGAGTGAACTTACCTCTCAAAGTCAAATGACGCATTATTGATAGCAGAGCAAATGACGCATTATTGATGCCACAAATGACAAATTTCTCACCCTCACAAAAAACAAATCAAACCCAACAAAATCAATCCAGCAACAGTGAACTTACCTCTCAAAGTCAATCGGGAGTTCCGAACTCAGTCAGCTTCAAAGAATGTGGTGGACATTAGAGAGGATTCTTTCGTAGTGGAGACTCCATCTCTACCAAAATCCAGGAACAACTGCAGCAGCACGAAAAAGAGATATGCTACTTTGCTTTCATCTGGAATCTCTTCTGCTGAACGAAAAAGAGAAGGGGTTTTCACTTCAATCATAGAATCAAAACAGGGCAATAGCTAGGTAAAAGCCATTAATCATCATACCGAGGATACCATAGATCGCAGGCCTCCCAAGGAGCTGATGACAATGGAGCGATTATAGAGTTTGGGAGCTTTGGATCGTTCTAATTGTGGATTTGCATTACATTAAAAAAGAGAGGATTGTGTTCTTGAGTTTTTCACAGAGAGGGAAAAATCTTCAGCTGAAGTTGGGTTTCCAAACGGGTCAGATTTCAACCCGGTTCTACATGCACCCTCTTTTAAAAACTCACCGTTGGATGAAATCCAACGGCTCTTACATACCCCTCAAAAAAACCCCTTATAACTTTCCACTCACTATAGAAGCACTCTTCAATATTAATGTTTAAAAAAAAATTGCAAAGCCCACAGAAAGACGAAACGAAACAAGCCCGGTCCAATTATACAAACACTGACTCGTAGCTCACAAACTCGTTCCACGTATCAAGTCCCTCATCCGCACACTTCACCCACTAAATCCCTCTCGTCTCTCGGCTCTCTGTGAGAAGGTGGATCATTTTTCTAGGGTTTGTGAGCTGAAACTTCAGTTACCGAACAGTGAGAGTGGCCTTTGATTGATTAGGGAACATGTCTTCTCTGGGAACTTCAAAGGGAATTCTAGAGATCGCAAAGTTTGGGCTCTACGTCTCCGTCCCCATCGTTCTTATGTACACCTTCGCCAACAACACCACGAATCTCCAGAGATTCATGGGAAACGTAATCTCTCTCTCTCTCTCTCTCTCTCTCTCTCTCTCTCTCTCTCTGTGTTACTGGTTTTGTATTAGTGTTAGCTTTTTTATGTATAACGGAGCAAGCTGTGAATTCAAATTGTTCGAAGTTGAGGTAAGAGTAGATCTGAAATTGCAGTATCATTATGGGAAAAATCTGTTTCATATTGAAAAATTTGCTTGAATTTTGATGTGGGTTTTATTAATCTAGCATGCTGCAGTGATTCAATTGAACCCTTTGAAGTTGAGGTGATATTGTGGGTAGAATCTGTTAGATACTGAAAAGTTTGCTTGAAATGTGATGCGGGTTTATTGGTTTTGAAATTTATGGTGTGGTTTAATTTAGCGGAGAGGGAATGGATGTGATATTCTAGTTCATGGCATAAAGGGGCTTGCTTTGATTATATAGATTTTGATATGATCTGAGCTATTAGGTTTTGGTCTGCAGCATTCTTATGTTGTGTATCCACCTGAAGCGCCGAGACCTCCGTCACCAGAGGAAATGAGAGAGATGGCGCGAGAACTAGCTAGGAAGAACAATGCCCGTTGATGCTTTGTTTGGGGTTCTTTTCTTTTGTAACTTGTAAGTGCCTGCTATAGAGAAAACGCAAAAAGGCTGTGTTTTGCATTTAGATTTCAGTCGAAATAATGGTGAGGCCAAGTGGGTTTTATTTCAAGTTCTAGTGTGGCCTTGTAAATACTACTTAAAATTTCAAATCCACTTTGCCCATTTCATGCTGTGTGTGGAGGACGAACGAGCTTTTGTGACTCAGGATGTAAATTATATGTTGTGATAAACCATGGATGGATTTGAAAGTGACCAAACATCTACAATATTCCTCATGTACTATTGAACTTTCATTTTCGTGTTCTTTGTGGAGCTGGAATCTACTTGAAAATGAGTTCTTTTGGTTTGCTTTTCTGGGTTGTGCTTGAGTGAAGCTGGAAGGTTGAATATCTGGATTTACTGTTAAATTTCATGCCTTAGCTGTTCATTAAAAACTATTGATATTGGGTAGACATAGGCTTAGTCAAGTTGGCTGTGCACTCGAGTTTGAATCCCACCTAGTTTAGATTAGATTAAAATAGAATATGATTTGTATTAAAGAAAAACTGTTCGTTAAAAAAAAAAAATTGTTTATATTGGAGGCAGTGATGATTTTGGTTAGGCTTATTTTTAAGATTACAGAATGTGTAAATTGGGCTTGTTGAAAAGAAATTCTTTATTGCCCTAAATTGGATGTAGGCCTTCAGACCAAAAATTAAAAAAGGTTTTTTTATTATTTATTTATCAAAATGGTCCTTGCCATTAGTTTCCGTTAGATTTTCTGTTAAGTTGATGACGTGGAACATGTGTGAAGCTTACACATCCAATGGTATAGCGTCACATAGTTTTAAATATAATATAATATATATTTTTAATATTTTTAAAACTTGAAATTTATAAAAAAATATAATTTAAAAGCAACTTAAATCTTTTTTATCTATATATATAAAGCAAAAGACAGATAATGGTGAAACATTAAAATACCAGAAAATTTCGTTGGTTAATGCAAACATTAAGAATTAAAATTATTAATTAAATGAGGATAATATGGTAAATTCACATTTTTTCATATTAAAAAAAATTAAAATTAAAAGAAAAATCAGATAATGAATCCTATTTTTATGAAACACAATCATCCATTATCTTTTTTTAATTCTAAAATATATATATATATATATTTTTTTAAAAAGCCTCTCACATGCATGGAAGAGGGTGCAGAAACGCTAGTATATTTTTAAATCTCTCTCTCTCTCTCTATTTGAAAAGAGCATGAAAGATATTTAAAAATATATCAAACAATTTAAGTTGCTTTTAATTTATTTTTATAATGAATTTTAAGTTTTAAAATATTAAAATAATATTATATTATATTTAAAACCATGTGACTCTAAGCTCCACACATGTGTCATGTCAATAATTTAACAGAAAATTTGACAGAAGCTAACGGCATAGATCATTTTGATGTGTGAAGGATAACCTTAAGGATTATTAGTATCACAAAAATATGTTAAGGACGAAATGTGATAATTTCGTAAACCTCAAAGATCATTTGTGATAAAAAGCCAACAAAAAATGAAAAATGGATTTAGGCCTTTCAATATGAGCCCTCAGCCAACTCCTCCTACATCAAAACCTACTGGCCAGGCAAAGCTACCAGACCCTCATAGCATTAGGAAACATTACCTGGTTCATTGATAGACAAATGTCGTGATTCTACTGGTGGGAGAGAGTCAACAATGATATAAAATATCATAATCTATATTTTTCTAGCTACAAATGTATACTGACTACTTTTATTTTTAATTAAATGGCGAGGAAAATTCGATCTTGGTATATATCGAAATAATATTGTTGAGAAAAAAAAGTATTACTAAACTAAGAGTTAGGTGGTGTTTCTATCAATGATTTGATGTGGGATATCAAATTGTAAACGCAAAGTTACATTGTAAGACTCTTTTCTAAAGTACGTGGAATTTTCCTTGCTCTTTCATGAAATGCATTATTTATTGGTATTATGTTCAAATGAACAGTGGTACTAGTCAAAAAGACAAATTTCCACACCGCGTCTGAATTAATTTCTTTGAAATTAATGATAATATTATCGAGCCACAGAATGAATCTTTATTGACTTACTCAAGTCTTCTTCTTGTGTTCCCTGGTGGTCGTCCTGGCCGCACTGACTGGGGCAAAAGCTTTGATCATTTACGAGCACTTTGCTCCATCAAGATATAAACCGAAGAGGGCATGTAGCTCATAAAAGTTTAATGACGAACTCTTTTGGCAGGTACCTAAATTCCTTACTTGTTCTGGGTTGTTCATGTTTTTACATTTCTGGCTTACTTTTCTTGCTTCTTTCTATGTTTGTCTGCCAAAAAACCCTGTGAGAGAAACATAAGCCAAAAGAGTACTTTCCAGTTTTACAATCTATATGGTTTTTGTTTCTTCGTTGACGGAAAACTAGCCTGAGCTGACCCACAGATGCATTTTCTGGCTTAGCCGATTTCCCACTTTTTCCTTCTGTTGCAGGGGTCTGAGCTAGGAATTATTTATCTCTGATTTTCTTTTACCTTTTATCAGTGATAACTTTAATTTTATAAATCATTGAACTTCTGGGTTTTGTTTGTTCATGCTTTCGTAGTTGTTTGAGAACAGATTTTGCTTTTAGTTTCCTTCGATTTAACAGAGATTAAAATTGAAAGATTGCTTGTGCATTGCAGTTTGGATTGTGTTTTAAATTTCTGTCCTTCACCAATTGGTATGCTGATTGGGGGGTGTGTGTGTGTGTGTGTGTGTTTTCCCAAAAGAGATGAAAGATTTGTTAACTCTTCCCTCCCGAAATTTGTAGCAATATAGAGGATATACATGAACAGTTGTGTCTTTATTTATGAACGAGATTATTATCTATAATTTGCTCTAAATTTGTACAATTTCATCTTCTTCGCTTTGTTAAATTAATCTCTTTCTTCTCTTCTCCATCCCTTTTACTGGATTAAGCTGATTCTTCGTTTTTCTGTCTTTATAGCTAGATGTTCGATGGTCAGAAGGGGCAATAAAAATAGGAAAGTGCTTTATAGATTTCATCTTCCTTCTGTTCTAATAAAGGGTTTGGCAGAGAATATTAGAATGGCATTGGAGCTTATACCTATTGGGACCATCTTGGCCGTGCTAACAAACCAGGTCATTAAAACAGCTCAGGCTGCTAAAGATGTTTTCGAAAAAGAGAGTTTCAAGGTCCTGTCAAAGCACTTGTTTGATATTGAACTGGTCTTAAAAGAATTGCAGCTTCAAGAACTGAATGATTCTCAAGCTGCTAGGCTTGCTTTGGAGTCCCTTGAAACAGATGTTAAAAGGGCTAACAGTCTGGTTGAGAAGTACAAAAATCGAGCTCGTTTCTACTTGTTTGTCAAGTGCCGACACATAGTCAAGGAGGTACAAGACGTTACCAGGGATATTGGTAGGTCATTGGCTGCTCTATCCCTGGCAAATACTGAAGTTTTATCGGGGATATCTGATCAGGTGAATAGGTTACAGAATGAGATGCAAAGAGTGGAATTTGAGGCTTCCCAGTCTCAGCTCCAAGTTTTTGACAAGCTAAACCAGGGTCTTAAAGATCAGACCCTTGACCAGGGTTTTGCAAATGACATGCTTGCAGAAATAGCTATGGCAGTTGGAGTGCCTTTAGAACCCTCAGAGATAAGCAAAGAGCTAGCAGATTTCAGAAAGGAGAAAGAAGAAGCTGCCAGCAGGAAGGAAAGAGCTGAAGTTTTCTTCTTAGAGCAGATTATTGAGCTGCTCTCTCGAGCTGATGCTGCAAGGGATTATGAAGAAGTCAAGAAGCAATACAAGCAGCGTGTTCAGGCCATAGAGAGATATGACACGAGCGAAGAGTATATTCAACCACTCAAGCCTTTTATTTGCTGTATAAAAGGAACTGTGATGGTTGAACCAGTCAGCCTTTCCACTGGTACTACATGTGAGAGAGGCGCCATCATAGCTTGGTTTGACAGTGGAAAGAGAACTGACCCGGAAACACATGAGGTTCTTGAAGATACTTTATGGAGAAGTAACCTTCCATTGAGGCAATCAATAGAAGAGTGGCGAGAACTTAATTACTGCCTCAAGATAAGATCTTCCAAGGCAAAGTTGTTATCAGGTGTTGAGACATCCATGTTAGATGCCTTAAGCCAAATGCAAGATCTTATGCGAGAGAATTCTATTAACAAGGACTGGATTATGATTGAAGGGCTCACTGATATTATAATCTCTATCCTTGGAAACTCTCACAACAGAGATGTGAAGAGGAAGATTTTGATCACCTTAAAGGATATTGTAGAAGGGCATGCAAGAAACAAGGTAAGCATCTTTGGTACTCTTTGTATGCATGGAAGAAAAAAAAACCAAACTAAGAAAGATCCCCTTTCTTTGATTCTTTTAATTTTCCTCCCACGATTTGAATCTGTTGAGTATACAATCTATTATTGCATAGTTTTACGAAGCTATGAATTGTTTTACGGTTGTTGTAGAATTTCATGTTTCTAATCCTTCTCAAAACGAATGCAACCCTTAAAAAAAATTTACTTGATGATTCAATTTTCTTGTTGACCTTACTAAAAAATAAAAAGTTTCATTGTTCTTTTTTATGTCCTGAAAATATACGAAACATTTTGGAGTATTCTAAATCTCTTTTGAAAAAAATCTTTTAGGAAAAAGTGGTTGAATCCCAGGGGTGGGATCACATTGTTCCCTGCTTAGGCCGTGACTCAAGCATCTCAAAGGCTGCAATTGAATTGCTATATGAATTGTTGCAAGACAGATCTGGTTGGAATTTGTCTGTCTGCAGGAAACTCTCTCAACAGTGCAGTACAATTCTTTTCCTCGTTTATACCCTTTTAAAAGGTACTGTGAGGGAGTCAGCTGAGATTGCAGAGAAAATCTTGATGAAACTTTTGACATAGATGAGGAAAACATTTCTTGTGCAGCTAAGTCTGGCTGGTATAAGCCACTTATTGATCGCATAGTTCATGGTAAGAAGATTCATTTACTAGGACTATAAAATTTCTTTATATTCAATTCCTTCAGTCACATAAAAGAATGAAAAGAGGGATGTAAACAGTAGATCGCAAATTCCTTTTACTACATTGTTCTTACAGAAACAGTAACTGAATTCGAGGGGAAAAAAGATATTGAGGAAATCTACTAGTCAGTGTGCTTATTTACAAGCCTATTAGGACACCGTGGATTCACTCCGTTCCATGATAGTCAGATATGCTAGTAGCTTTTCCTTTATGTGTGAGTGTATGGCCAGATGTTTCAACAATTAGTCTCATGCTCTAGTGTTTAAATGAGATATGTCATGTCCTCTGCATGAAATAAAGCTGAAATTCTGAATTGCCTGTAATCCTTTTAACGAAGATTAGTTGATACAATTTGTCATTCTAAATGTTTTCAGGGACTGAAACTTCAAGGTTATCAATGGTGAGAACACTTGTTAACATGGAATTGGTCGACTCAAATTTGAAGCTCCTCGGTGAGGAAGGGGTTATACCTCCTTTGCTTGAAATGGCATCTGGCAATATTGAAGCAAAACAGTTGTCCTTATCTGCCTTGGCTGAATTGTCAAGTTGTAATACCAACAAAGAGCTGGTTGCAGCTTCTGGTGGGGTTCATCTTGTTCTAAAACTAGCGTTCTCTCCCCATGTTCGCTCAATCATTGTTGTTAAATGTTATGAAATCCTGGAAAAATTCGCTTCTGATGCTGATGGGGTTAAATTCTTTGTTGATGAAAATGGGAGCCAACTCGAGTTAGAGCCAATTGTCACCAATTTGATTGCGTTACAGCAGAATCCCAAATTGGCCTACAATGTCCGGAGGCCTTCCTTGCGCACACTACTTGGAATCTGCAAGTTTGATGCAGGGTTGGTTAAAAAGGCGGTTGTCACTGTTGATGCCATATCACTGGTCCTTCCTCTTCTTGATGACTCCGACTCCGAGATTCGAGAGATTGCAATAAGTTTGCTTTTCCTCTTCTCCCAGCACGAGCCTGAGGGGGTTGTTGAGTACCTTCTCAAGCCAAGAAGGCTGGAGGTTTTGGTGGGGTTTCTTGAGAATGATGACAAGGATGATGTACAGATGGCTGCTGCTGGCATATTGGCTAATCTGCCGAAATCAGAAAAATCACTAACTACGAAGTTAATTGAATTGGATGGACATACTGCAATCATAAACATTTTAAGAACAGGGACCATGAAAGCAAAAGAAAATGCTCTAAGTGCTCTTTTTAGGTTCACAGATCCCACAAACCTGGAGTCGCAGCGTACACTGGTTGAAGGAGGAGCATACCCTTTGCTTGTAAACTTTCTCAGGTCCAGCTCAGTGACTGCAAAGGCAAGAGCTGCAGCTCTGATTGGGAATCTTTCCACAAGCAGTCAAAAGCTCGCTGTTGTGTCCAAACCATCCGGATGCTGGTGTTTCAAGCCATCGGGTGCTCCTGTTTGCCAAGCACATGGTGGCACCTGCAGTGTCACTTCCACATTTTGTGTATTGGAAGCAAAAGCTTTGCCTGACTTGGTAAGGCTCTTATCCGGGGAGGTTTACGAAACTGCCATTGAAGCAATTCAAACTCTCTCCACATTGGTTCTTGAAGCCTCTCCTCAAAGAGGAGCCAATGTCTTGCATGAGGCTGATGCCATAAAGCCTACATTGGAGATCTTGACTTGGGGAACAGATTCTCTCAAGGAAGAGGCATTGAGTCTACTTGAAAAGGTTTTCTTGTCAAAGGAGATGGTTGAATTTTATGGATCAACTGCCAGATTAAGTCTTGCTGGTCTAACTGGCAGTAATTTTCATGAGGATGGTCGTCATAGGAGGAAGGCTGCCAGGGTCTTGTCACTCCTTGAACGTTATTCAAGATCATCTACATCTATTATTCCTGGGCTGTATGGCTAAAAGTTCTGCTTATCAGATCAGGAAGAAAGAAAAAACACTTAAAACTTTGCTTGAGAATTGTGATTACAGTGATCAAGTTGGGAAATTTAGTACATCAATCTCAGTTCATATAGGGTTTGGTATACATGATTTGGAACTTTCAGTATACATTGGTCAAGATGGGTGGGCAAAAGATTTTAATGTACAGTTATGTTTTCATTTCAGGCAAAATGCTGATGAAATCATCATTTAGAGCACTATGCCATTACACTCGAATTTGTCAATTGGCATGCTAATCAAAATTCTCATATAAACACATAAACATAACATGTGCATATGGGACATGTTTTAAAGCTCAACCAACTAAAGCTGTCATAAAACAAATAGCACCAATATTTGAGTTAGAACTCATGGGCTAGTTTCTTGGAGTTTTGAGTTCATATAAGAATTTAACGACGATTTTTGAACATTTGTTTTACACACAAAAGAAAAGCTTCAAACTAATCAAGTACACCTATTTTGTACAATATAATTATAGTAGTGATGAAATAATAATACCAATAATGCCTCTCAAAATAATAATGACTACAAGACTTTTCGCATTTTTCGGATAATTTAATTATGAATAGAAAAGAGTACTTAATGTTAATTTTGAATTTGATGGCTTACTAAAAAAAATTAAATCCACCCAAAATGTCAAATATCATAATAGTTTTATTATATTATGATAAAATATAATATAATAAAATAGGAAGAGATTCATGGTTCCAATTTTGCCCTTACATCTTCATTCTTAGCATTGTGCAGATTATTGTTTATGCGGCATTGTATTTAAAACTTAGAAGAAATAAAGAATTATTAGAGCAGATATATGCAGCAGGGATAGTATATAGGAAGAGATTCATGCATCCAATTCTTACTAAAATCAAATAGAGATTTGAGAGATCTCATCTTTATGAAACCTCTACATGTGAGGATAAAATTGGATTGCCCTGATCATGAAAAGGCTGAAAATGCGAAAGATATTATTCTAAGAGACTGCAAAGTTGAGGTCAATGTATCACTTAACTCGTAATATTCAGAGTTGCTAATATTTAAAGCGTATAGCCGCGCAACTATACTTTTTAAATATGTGAATATATTTAAATAGTATAGCCGCGCAGCTATACTTTTAAAATATTCAAATATATATATATATATATATTGAAGGATAGGAAATGACGATTTTAGGCCTGCAGTTGAGGCCAACTAATTATCGTGGACAGACTGTGTTGCAAAATCCCCAAATTTATTCGACCAAATACAAAATTCCTAACCCTAACTCTTCAAAATGTCGTCACGTGCCATAGTCGCCATGGCACCTTTGTCAGATGAGTAACAAGAGGAGAAATGCACTACCATGCTCCCAATTTATCCAAAAGTAGGTAAATACTAGCTTCTAAACTAAAAAATGTGTGCCTTTTATATTTAACTAGTTTAAAAAATCCTTTTTATTTTTATTTTTTATATTTTCCAAATATATAAGTTCGTCTTGATTTGGTTTCATTCTTCTTCTTGTTGTTATTTTGGCTATACTTTATGTTATATAAATTCAATAATTTATTGGAATTATGAAATTAAAGAAAGATTACCTAGTAACACTCCTCACAGCAATGGCAAAACCATGAAATTAAAGAAAGAAAATTAAATTAAAAATGTTTGAATTGATGGAACCCAGAAGTGAGTTTTCAGATGACCTCTAGGGTCTACTAGTTTGAAGATTGGTATCTCTATTATTTTTATATGGGGAATGTTAGCAACCTTCTCTCTAACTTTCTCTTTTGAACCTTCTCTCGTCTCTGCATGACATGTGTCACTTCTCTTTCACTTAAATCAATGTTTTTAATTATAGAAAAAATATTACTTGTGTTTCCATATTTGTCCTTGATAAACCAGTCCAATTCTCCTGTTTCTTTTATCATCGTGGAAAACACAAAAACTAATTCTTAAAGATAAAACAAAAATCAGACCCAAAATAAAATAAAATTGGATAAGTGTGGAAATATGAAATTTAAAAATAAAAAAAATTAAAGTTCTGAACGCAAAAACAAAAAGAAGTAACTGAACATAGAAAGTGAACAGCCACCAAAGCTCCACACCCAACCTCGTCTTCCACCCCAACCCGGTGGCAGCAAACCTTCTCCTCCTTGCCGCCAGCAAAGCCTCATTTCCTCTCTCTCTCTCTCTCTCTCTCTGTATGTTCCACACCAGATCTGGATCTCTCTCATATAACCCTATAACCCAAAATATGTCATTGGAGGTAGAAAGCACGTATCAGATTTCCTTCAATTTGGTACAGTTTGGCGTTATTGGCAAACACATGTTAAGAGCAAAAGATGTCGTCTTGCTCCTGAACATCCATGGGTTATGCTATGTTCTCATCCCTTCTTCAACATACATCATTGCTTTTTAAGTCTAAATAATTTATCTTGTTTGATCTGGATCCATATCTAATGCGGGAAAGAGAGAGAAAATAAGGTGTTTCTGGCGACGGGGAGGAAGGGGTTTGCAGGCGTGGTTGGGTTTGTTTTTGTTTTTGTTTTTTTTTGGGTCTGATTTTTGTTTTATCTTTAAGAATTAGTTTTTGTGTTTTCCATGTTGATAAAAGAAACAGGAGAATTGGACTTGTTTATCAAGGGCAAATATGGAAACACAATTATTATTATTATTATTTGTAATTAAAAACATTGATTTAAGTGAAAGAGAAGTGACACATGTCATGAAGAGAAGAGAAAAGGTCCAAAAAATAAAAAAGATTAGAAAGAAAGTTACTAACATTCCCCTTTTTACATTGTTCTTACATGTATTTAATTTATCATCTATACAGTTGCATGTATTTAATTCAAAGATTGGTGGTGTGAGTTCTTTCACTTTAGGTTGTCTTCCCTCAATTAGGATTAGAGACTTCCTTAGTTTTGGCTCCTTGAAAGCTCCCTATTTAAAAGACACCTTTATCATTTTTGTTCATACTAGAGGAAAACATTCCCATGCTAATGGAGTTTCAAAATGTTTGACATACATTCACATGTTGCATTTGACATGCGGCCATTTTGGGTGGAGTTAATTTTTTTTACAAATGTCAAATTCCCACATAAATCATCACATTCAAATTTAATATTTTGCATTTGACATGTCCCTTGGAGATGCTCTAAGGGAAATGTTAAATACCAAATATTAAATTTAAATTTTATGAATAATGTGGCAATATGACATCTTGCACAGTTTTACACTCCACCCGATATGACAAATTAAAATATTATTTTATTACATTAGTGTTGATTTATTTATTACTTCTTAATTGAATATAATTTTTATATTTTTAATTAAAATAAATAAAATACTAAATGAGAATCAATTAATTAAAACTAGAAAGAAATATAATTAACAATTCACCACATCAAAGATTTTTCATTCTAAGTTGAGAATAATATATTATTTATAAAACAAAAATTAACTTAGAAAGAAAAAGGTTGTGTGTTTATCAAAAATATATTGTAACGGTCAAATCATTCAATACTATCCTACTGTGAAGTGACGAGAAGAAAAAAAATTAAATAAATGAAAGCAGATATTAGAGATGAGTCATCGTTAATTTAATAAGAATAATGACTTCAAGACTTTTACACAATATCTTTTCTTAAATTTATTGTTATAACAAGTACCTTTATACATGTTTGGCTTGAGGAGGTCCTTCATGGCTCAATGTGTTTTTTCAAGTTGACGTTAATATTTTGGAGTTGTCATGAATTTTTGGTTGTAGTCTTTATGGAACGTGTGGCACTTTTGTTCCTTCTTAAGTTTTGTCCCTATGAATTTTCTTTGGCAAAATTTTAATGAGACCACGTTTGTTCGCTCGAGTCTATAACATTTCACAATTTTAATGAAAATGTACTATTTCCTCTTAAAAAAAAAAACAAGTACCTCTCTATAAATGCAACGCCATAGCAAAGAGATTTATTAGTTAACACCAACAACACTTTTATCTGTTTGATAATCAAAATGACTTTTGATATCTACCCTTAATTTTTTAGTCAACATTAAGCAAATTTCTTCCCAAGGTCTTAACTTCATAATCTTTTTAAATCTTTTGCAAATGTATTTAGTCAATGCTAATTAAGAAAATTTCATACTAACATTTATATCATTTTCGGCGATCTACAAACATATATTTAAGAGTAATTTTTCGATGTGATCATCAAACTCGAGAATTTCTTGGCAGCTAGACTCTATGCTAGCACTCTTCTTACCAAACAATACTATTTCTACATTAAACAATCCTTAATTAGTACCCTTTAATGACCTACAGCATGTCCAACCTGGGCTATAGCCTAGGTGAGTTTAATTCTTTTCTTATAGTTAGTGTTAATGCTAAGTATATATAATCAATTTTTAATGGCATTGTTGGTGTAAAATAGGCCTCTTTAATTTTATTTTATTTTAAAAAAAAGATATGTTCTTAAATTAAATTTATATATTTATGATCAATTCCATCAGTCTCCCTATAAGGGTTTAGCCGAGCCTAAAATCTAACAATCCAGTAAGGTAAATCTAACCTATCCTATTTTAAAATCCTAAGTCTATCCCTGGATGCCCACCCACTTATTAAAGTTGACATGAAAAAAGTAATTTTCAATGAATTTTGTGTGCCCAATTTCTTATTTCTTCGGAAAATATTTTACAAATTACACGTTTTATTAATACAAATTTATAAATAAACCCAATCCTAGACATGTATTTATAAAAAAACCCAAGCACTATTTAAAGATAGAAACACACCCAAAATCAACCCCAAAGTCAACTTTTTGGGTGTGTTTATAAATGGGTTTTGAGTAAGTGTAATGATGGGTTTTGGGTGTGTTTATATGTTTAAATAGTGTTTGAGTTTTTTTATAATTTCAACCTCCATTTGGGTGTTTTAGTGAAACTCCCTTTTATTAAATGTTCATTGTGAAGAGACATGTTGACAGCAAGCAACATACTAC